TCTTCCTCCTCCTCCTCCTCCTCCTCCTCCTCCTCCTCCTCCTCCTCCTCCTCCTCGTCCTCGTCCTCCTCCTCCTCCTCCTCCTCCTCGTCCTCCTCCTCCTCGTCCTCCTCGTCCTCCTCCTCCTCCGGCCTTCCGAGCCGCCTCAGTCGGCGGCTTGGGAGTGCCGAAAAGCGGTGCGGCGGCAGGCCGCGCGGCGACCTCGCAAGAGGGGGCCGCCTGCGAGCGCTACCCCATATACGACTTCTGAGGGGAGGGCGGGGTTCACTTCGCTCGGGAGCTCCCGAGCGAAGCGTGAACCCCACCCTCCCCCTCAGAAATCGTGGGGGGTAGGGGTAGCCGCCTCAGTCGGCGGCTTGGGAGTGCCGAAAAGCGGTGCGGCGGCAGGCCGCGCGGCGACCTCGCAAGAGGGGGCCGCCTGCGAGCGCTACCCCATATACGACTTCTGAGGGGAGGGCGGGGTTCACTTCGCTCGGGAGCTCCCGAGCGAAGCGTGAACCCCACCCTCCCCCTCAGAAATCGTGGGGGGTAGGGGTAGGGTTCGCATGTGGCCCCCTGCGAAATCCCCCAAGACCTCTCCGCACGGTCTGTCAGCGTAAGGTCCTGGGACCCGGGATGCCTCCGTCGCCCGAGGCGTCGTCGGAGAACTGCACGAGGCCACAAACCGTGCGGTGACCCCGAATCCCCACCGACTCACCACGCGGTGTGGTCACCACCCCGTTTCGGGGCCCCCGAACGGAGAAGACTTGGCAAACTTCTCAAATGGCTGGAGACCTTCCGAACCTTCTGAGCAGGCCCACCCCCTGCGACATCCTCCCGGGCCCGCAGCGGATGCGCGCCGCGACAGAATATATAATCTGCTCGTAGCCACAGGTGGCGGCGAACATGGACGAAAGATGCCCCAACGGTGCGGGCGGGCAGATGTTAGGGGAGCGTATAGTGACAGAGACATAAAAATTCGGAGATCCGCGCGGATTTTTCGAGTCGGCGCTGGACACCCTTTCCTGGCGCGCGGAGCGCGCCAGGGGCCGGAGGCACCGCCATGGGGGTCCAGCGCGGATCCGAGAAATCCGCGCGGACCTCCGAGTTTTTATGTTTATGTCATTATTCGTTCCCCTAGACGTCCTTACCCACCACCCCTCGAGATCCCAGGGCACGACCCCGAAGCGGTGGATGTGGGCCTGCTCTGGCGGTGGTCCCCTGTGGCTCACGGCGACGCTCCCCGACATCCGCGGCCCCCCAAAAAGGTCCCGACAACCTCCCCAAAGGTAGTGTTTGTTTCCTCCACATGTTTCATGGGGTTATGGTTTTCATCCCTGCCGCGTCGCACCCGCGTCTCCTCCTCACCCACCTCCCCTCCCTCCTCCCTCACCTCCTCCACTTCCTTCCTCCACTCACCCACACGCAACCCATGCACGGCACGTGCATCAGACACGCGTCTACATGAAGCCGCACGCATGCACACACTCGCACACGCACACCCAAGACGTGTGGGAGCGCTATCCACTTCGGGCTCGCAAAGCGTGGTAGGCGTGGCACATCCTCGACACCACAGGGGGTGAGCTGGGGGTGGGAGCGCTATCCGTTTCGGGCTCGCGAAGCGTGGCACGTGTGGCACATCCTCGACACCACAGGGCGTGAGCTGGGGGTGGTAGCGCTATCCGTTTCGGGCTCGCAAAGCGTGGCAAGCGTGGCATATTCTCGACACCACAGGGGTGAGCTGGGGCTGGGAACGCTATCCGTTTCGGGCCCGCACAGCGTGGCAAGCGTGGCACTTCCTTGACACCACAAGGGGGCGCGGGGGGTGGGAGTGCTATCCGCTTCGGGTTCACAGGCGTGGCACATGTGGCACTCCGTCGACACCACTGAGAACGCGCAAAGCGTGGCAGGCGTGGCATTTCTTCGTCACCACAAAAAAGGCTGCGCCGTGGGTGGGAGCGTCATCCGTGCCGGGCTCGCAAGTCGTGGCAGGCGTGGCAGATCCTCGACACCACAGGGGGGGACCCGGGGGTGGGAGCGCTATCCGTTTCGGGCCCGCACAGCGTGGCAGGCGTGGCACTTCCTCGACACCACAAGGGACGCGCTGCAGGTGGGAACGCTATCTTTCCGTTTCGGGCTCGCAAGGCGCGGCTGGCACATCCTCGACACCACAAGGGGCGCGGCGGGGATGGGAACGATATCCGCTTCGGGCTCGCACAGCGTGGTAGGCGTGGCACTTCCTCGACACCACATGCAGGGGACGCGTTGGGGGTGGGAACGCTATCATTTTCGGGCTCGCAAAGCGCGGCAGGCGTGCCACGTCCTCGGCACCTTGGGGGGTGAGCTGGGGGTGAAAGCGCCATCCGTTCCGGGCTCGCAATGAGTGGCAAACGCGGCAATTCCTCGACACCACAGGGGTTGCGCAATGGGTGGGGGCGCTATCCGTTTCGTGCTCGCAAAACGCGGTTGCCATCCGAGTCGGTCGTCCAGGGCATAGCAAGCGTGACGTATTCTCGACCCCACACGGGGTGCGCAGTAGGTGGTCTCTGAGCGCGCCCGCTATCCGAAACAGTCCTCCAGGGCGTGGCAGGCGTGGCATTTTCTCGACACCATACGGGGTGCGCACGGGGTGGTCTCTGGCCGCGGCCGCTATCCCGAACCACACATGCTTCACTCCATCTATCATCACTCCAGTCATATGACGGCAGCGTAATTACGACGACATGGGAGCCAATGGGTTCGCACAGCGTGGATGCACTGATGGACGCTACCACGAGTGAGAGGGAATCGTACCCGAAACACCGAAGGGGTCGGGAATCACCGTCGAGCACCCTGGAAATTATACCATCTGAACTCGTCGATGCAGCGTCTCCGAGTGGATGGCTGCCTCGTGCTTATGAATATAAATATGTATAGAATATACGAAAACAATTAAAACCATATTTGTATATAAATATAAGACAGCGCCCCCCGCCCCCCACTTGAAGAATTGTATGACCACTGGGCCGTCAAGCGACGCGCGAACTGCAAGCGGAAACTGCTCGACGGTCAGCCAACGACAACGCCGCGCAATTCAATGCGAACGGCGCGTTGCTGCTCTGCTCATCGGCGTTTGAGCATGGCGTTTTTCTTTGTGCTGGCGCGTGGTCGATGCCGAAAATCTTCGTGGACATTCGCGCGGTCGTGCCGGGGCACAAACCAATAGGCGCGTCGGCCCTTAGCGGCGCTGGCAAGAGCCCTTGGCGGCGTCTGGGGCCCGCCCTGCACGGGCGCGCATCGAAAAACTCATATGCACCCCAGAAACAAAGTTTTGGCACCGAACGACAAAGTTTATAAAAACTGAATCTTAATCCATGTAAATTTCTACGAAGCAGAAAAACTCGCGCGGGGGAGACCAAATAAGTTTACATTCCCCAATCAGAGCTTGCCTCTGTAAGGGTCCTAACGGATTCATATGGTTAGGTTAGGTTTGTCGCCAATTTTCGCTGCACGCCCGGGTGCGCAGGTACTCGGGGGTGCCCGGGGCCCCGGTGTCTGGGGGGTGCCCAGAGGCGCCCGGGTGCCCGAGTGCCCAGGTGCCTGGGTGCCCGGGCGTGCCCTATAGCCCTGTAGCCCTATGGCCCTACAGCCTAGCCCTATAGCCCTGATTGGGGCTTTTCTCCGGTATCATTCCTATAAACAGAAAATGTGCCCATATATAAACGCAGAAAAAAAACTTATATTTGACCGGTTGCCTTAAGAGAAACGCTCCCGATCTAAACGTTTCCGCCGGCAGGCTTACGATGGGGGCCACGAAAGCGGGGACGGGGGCCCTCGGGTGGACCAGCAGCGGCGTTGCCACGCGAGGGACAGCGCCGCCGTCGCCTCAAGCTGCATACCGCGGCCGTGGCACGCGCGGCCCTGAGAATGCTGGCGCGGGCGAGGCCGCGTCGAGCGGGCCCAGGACGTCGCCGCGCGCGCGCGGGGCCCCCTGTGGCAGCTGGGAAAGGTCTCGCCGACAGGGCGCCTACACTTAAGCTCATTCGCCGTAGATGCAAACTGCTGACGTGTAAAATCCATAGCTGCGGGGGCTGGGGTCGGTTTCCCACTGTTCATGCTGGTCCTGGGGCCCGAAAGCGGCACCCAAAGGGACGACACCCAGAGAAAACCTGCAGGCGGACCAACATACAACACATCCAGCACTCCACCCAATGTTTTCGATGCGAGGACCCCTGGAGGTCTAGACCCCTTCTCTAGGGCCTGCCGTTCGACATGAATCACTGTTTGACGGTCCCTGGGCTCGTTGAACAAGACAAAGCCCGGACGAGGATAAATTCGGGAGAGGATAAATCGAGAATCTCTGAGACACGGCGGCTCTGGAAGATGTCTCGGGCGCCGCGGCCTTCTCAGAACGTTCCCGAACGCTCTGAGAGCGTTCTGAACCCTCTGGAACGGATTTGTCCTCGTCCTAGCTTGGCGGCGCGCAGAGGGGGGAGGAGGGGGGAAGGATTCTTAGGAGGCTGCTTCTCAGAAGGCGCGGGCCTTACATCTATAGAGAAGGCCCGCGCCTTCTAAAAACCAAGAGTGCTTCCAAGAAGCCGTCCCCCCTCCCCCTACCCTCCTCTGCGCGTGGCCGACTCGCCCCGTCCAATGGAAGGCCCCCGGAGGCCGCAAATAGCAAAACACTGGCCACTCCCATTCTCTCGGAGTCTCGGATCTCTGGGATAACCCGGCCGGAGATCTTGATGGGCCTGCTTTTTGCCACTATTACCATACTCCAGATTTCCTAATAAAGGGAGGGGGGTCTCATTTCGGGGGGGGTCTCTTCCGGGCTATCTTGGAGGGCCTGGGGGTGTCTGGGGACGGTGTTTTGGAGGGTTCTCCCACGGGGGGGGGTCTGAAATGGCTTGTCTTGGAGGGTCCAGACCCCCTCCCTTTTATTACGAAATCTGGGGTAAGCTGTAGGGGGGAAGGAGGTGGAGGATGAGGAGAAGGAGGAAGACGAGGACCCCCTCTCCTACTTCTGGTGATGGCGGTGGAAATCAAGCCCACCAAATCGGGGCCCGCGGCGGGCACCACCGCGAGACCAGCACCGCGACGTTCTGGGCCCCGGTGTTGTGCAGCAGCGCGTGCAGGCCTCCTCGCACCGGGAGCCACGGCGCGGGAGGAGGAGGAGTGGGAGGAGGAGGAGGAGGGAGGAGGAGGAGGTGGTGAAGGAGGAGGAGGAAGAGGAGGAGGAGGAGAGGAGGAGGAGGAGGAGGAGGAGGAGGAGGAGGAGGAGGAGGAGGAGGAGGAGAGGAGGAGGAGGAGGAGGAGGCAGAAGAAGAGAAGGTGGAGGAGGAGGAGGAAGAGGAGGATGAGGAGGAGGAGGAGGACGATGACCAGGAGGAGGAGGAGGAGGAGGAGGAGGAGGAGGAGAGGGGGAGGAGGAGGAGGAGGAGAGAAGGAGGAGGAGGAGGAGGAGGAGAGGGAGGAGGAGGGAGAGGAGGAGGAGGAGGAGGAGGAGGAGGAGGAGGAGGAGGAGGAGGAGGAGGAAGACAAGGAGGCAAAGGAGGAGGGGGAGGAGGAGGGAACGCGTTTCTTTATGTTCGGCGATGACGGGCGTCATGGGGGGGGGGGCGGGGGGGAAGGGGGTATGACGTCATGCCCCCCCCCCGCCGTGTGTCTCCGGCACCACAACCGCGCCCGCTCGCACGACGCGACGAGCGACGAGCGACGACGACGACACAATCAGCATGTAGGTGGCGGTGCGCCCCACTGCGCCTGTGTACACCACAGCGCTCGCGTGCACCACAGCGCGCGTGTACACCACAGCGCCTGCGTACACCGCAACAGCTGTGTGCAACGCAGCGCTTGTGTACACCACAATGCTTGCGTACACTACAGCGCCGGTGTACGCGTACACCGCAGCAGCCATGAGCAACGCAGCGCCTCAGTACACCACAACGCTTGCGTGCACAGCAGCGCCTGTACACGACACACCGCCTGTCTACACCACAGCATCCGCGTGCAACGCAGCGCTGCGTGCATAGGACAGGTAGAAAGAACATGTACGTGAGGATTTGATGCGGACAACTGAACGCCACGCCAGGAAACTTATGATGATCGAGTGCGGCGTTTTTCCCTCTTCCCGCCTCCTCCACTTCCACTGCCACCAGATCCTCCTCCTCCTCTTCCTCCTCCCCCTTTTCCTTACCCCCTGTCGTGCGGGTTGGCGCTACAATGCACGTGCACATCTCAGCGTGCACCTCAGAATTGACGATTGAACCGGTCCACTTGGTTCGCGGACAGCCAATTTAGCTGGAGCCTCCTGGACGCACACAAAAAGAATTAGAATGATGCGGGCGGCCTCGGGAGGACCCGTAGGTGTTCCATCGGCGCCCCTTTGTCCATAAGGATTCCTTTCTATTGTTTTCTGTGGAATCCACAAGGGTTCCATTTTGTCATAAGGGTTCCTTCTAACACTATATAAAACAGTGGTGCTGCTTTGCACACGGTTGCTGTGGTGCACGCAGGCGCCGTGGTGTACACAGGCACTGCAATGCACGCAGGCATTGTGGTGTACGCTGGTTCTGTGTTGTACACGGCTGATGTGGTGTACGCAGGCGCTGTGGTGTACACAAGAGCTGTTGTGCCCGCAGGCACGGTGGCACAAACTCATGCTGTGTTGCACGCGGCTGCTGTGGTGCACATGGGCACTAAGGTGTACACAGGCGCCGTGGTGTACACAGGCGTTGTGGTGCAGATCGCCACCTACATGCTGGTACTACCTGTCCTCCGTCATTCTTAGGCACTCCCAGACGCCACCGGCGCGAAACGTGACGTCATCGACCCCCTCCCCCCCCAGATGATTGCCGTCATCGGCCTGGAATAAGAAAAACAAGCTTCAGCCGCGCCCGCGCGCACGACGACGGTGAGCGACGAGCGACGAGCGACGAGCCAAAAGCCACGAGGACTCCTGTGCGGATTCCTGCGCGGACACTTACGCGAATCCGAATGCGCACGGCGGCAATGCCCGGAGCGCACTGGGGGGGGGAGCGTTACGTCATATGGGGGGGAGGGGGAGCGGGGGCCATGAAGCCCGTCATGCCTCAAGCAATCAAGAAACGGGCTCAGGGGGATGAGGATGGGGAGGAGGAGGAGGAGGAGGAGGAGGAGAAGGAGGAAGGAGATGAGGAGGAGGAGGAGGAGGAAGAAAAAGAAAAGCAGCCCCCCCTCGCACCGGGGGGGCGCGCCGATGGCACTGCGAATCCTCGCCGACCTCGTGTCGGGTACCCGCACGGACGGCAATGTACAGGACAGACGTGAGACGCAGCCAGGACAACGACATAATCGGACAGGGCCGAATCGGGGATCTCCGAGATCCGGCGGTTCTGCAGGAGGCATCGGACGTCTCAGAACAGAACGCTCTGAAGCGTTCCAGAACGCTCTGGAACGATTTTGTCCCTGTCCTAGCCTAGCCCCGCCTGACGAGGCAAGATCACCCAAAATCGAATCGATGTCGGAGCGGCGATCGACAGAAATCGGTTCGGCGGACATCGGCAGCCAAGTCTGGAGAGGCCGAGCCGGGAGACATCGAGATCCAGCTCGGAAACCGAGGTCGAATCGAATCGAAATCGGCACCGATCGAACTCGAGCCGAAGGAGGAGGAGGAGGAGGAGGAGGAGGAGGAAAAGTCGGAGGAGGAGGAGGGGGAGGAGGGGGAGGAGGAGGAGGTGGAGGAGGAGGAGAAGGAGGAGGTGGAGGAGGAGGAGGAGGAACTGGAACTGGAACTTGTGAAAACGCGAAGAGTTTTAAATAATTAAGCAGGACCAATGCCTCTGGCAATCCGCTCTCTCCGAGAGAGAACCTTAGGCCAAAATCCTGTACTGATCCTGGACAAGTACACTCTAGTGGTATCCGTGGGGTGCTCACGGCACCCCTCTCGAAGGGACCGAAGCTGAGCGGTCGCTGTAAACCCACAAATTCCACAATACCACAGGCCGAAGTCTGCGTGGTAAAAAAGCGCGTGAGATTCACGAATCCAACCCCCAACACAATGTCTTTGTTTTTGGGCAGGCACCTGAAAGAGGGTTCCGTCGACGGGCTCCAATTTAAAACACGGGGTTCGCATCCAGTCAACAAGAGCTTTCTGAGACGCCGAGCCTTTACAAATGGTGCATCGCTGACCGCTGTCGCCCAAGACGCGAGCAGCACTAAACTGGGCCACGACCTTGGGGGCGGGCGGCCGGCGATGATGCCTTTGTTTGACGTTCGCTCTGCTGCCGAGGGTCGGCAGCCACTGCATCGATGCGAGCCCGCAGGAGACGTCTGCGGACTAAAGCAGCTCTGAACTCAATCTGGGCAATCCGTGCCCTGTCGCCCTGCGGAACCCTATGTTCGAGAGCGCTCTCTCCTGCAGCCTGGTCCGCCTGGCGATTGCCCTCGATCATCCACGAGGGGGTTCTTCGTTCACACGCTTCCTCGTCATTGAGATGTGAATAAATGAACCGAACAATGATGCATGCTGCTCTGCTCGTGTCATGCAAATGCTGGCCTATCTTGGCCCAAATATCTACGTCGCTGGCAGCAGCTCGAGGTCGCAGGAACACTTTCCTGCCCCAACCTTCGGCCACTGCTGAATTGTCGGCAATGTAGACCAGCCATCCGCTGTTCAAAAAGATGGCCGCCTCAAGGGCAGCTAACTCACCTCGAAACACTGTCTGCCGCCGCCCTGGGAGGCCCATTTTGCCAGTGGCACCTGCGCGAAAAGGGTGGTGCATGCTAGCAACCTTGACAAGAGCAGCACCTACACGACGCTGTGCAGGCTTCATGGTGTCTGGGCCCCCGCTGGCGTCTCCGCAGATGCGAACTGGCTCGCTCTGCGCGCCCGCGCCGATGGTTCCTGGACTGTAAAACGTATTGTCACCGAACTCCCATCGCTCGTCTCGAACGGGTGGGGGAGTCGACGCCCATGCACTCGGTATCAGTCCTCTGAGCCAGCATGCTGGGCATTGTTCGTGCTGTGCTACTGCTTTTGGAGCGAGAGTGTCTGAATCCTGAAAACCCCAATTGCCTTTGTTGTGGGGACAAGTTCAGCACCGATGGAGTGGAGTCGCTACGTGCATGTCCCCTTCGGCGTAGCATCGTGGGCACGTCCGTAGTTGCCCTTCTCCTTCTTGAACTTCTGCCATGAGGCGTTCGCGTGGCCATGCGCCACGGACCGCGATCGCCGGCGCGAGCTCCTTGGCGGCGTGCCCGTTGGGAGCGTCTGCCAGCGACTGCATGGGAAAAACAACGATATGAGTAGTTATCGATGCCTTCTGCTGCTCCTTCTCCGCAGTGATGACCTGCAGCTTGACGCCAGAGGTGCCTTCGAATCGACCCTGCAAAATCGTTAAGTATATCTGCTATGTCCTCGTTACCTGAAAGAGCGTGGTCTGGGAAAATCCATTTGACGCCCTCGCCGTTGCACCCGTCACTTGGGAGGTGCCATCGCGAAGGAGAGACTGGATCCCAACCGTATTGTAAAAGGTGTACGATGACTGCTTCATGGGCCCTCGAACGTGTCGGGCCCGCTGCGCGCTGCCCATCGAACGTAGATGCGAAACAGCTGATGGCCATGCCATGTAGACTGAGTCTCTGATGCTGCTGCCTGTCGTCCACGACTTAAGCCATTCCGCCAGGCGCTCACGACCTAGCTTGATAGCTGGGTCATGTCCTGGCACGCGTAAGTCTAGCGTGGTGGTGGTGCACCGCCTACGCTTGCTGGATCCGCACACTGCGGCTAGCTTACTCCGCAAACGATGACGGTCGTTGCCGAGCATTCCAAAAACTTGATGCCCGTAGCGGGCCACCGTCTGTGCACTTGCCCGCTCAAGCCTGGATGTGACCTGAGATTGGGAACTCGCCCTGGCCCATTTGACAATCTTGGCGTGCCGTCGGCTGGCCTTGACCGCCCGCTGTCTTTGAGTGGCCCGCCCATGCCGTTTGCCTGCGGATAGGTCGATGCCGAGGTGCGGCGCCTGCAAGACTGGCTGGAGCTGATGACCTCGCCTCCTCAATGCTGTGCTGATTGCCTTGGCCGGGCGATGGTTCGAGGCAAGCAGCGCGCTCTTGGAAGCAACTGCCAGGCGAGCTTGAGCCGAGAAGCCGAACGCG